ATTCCTGGTACCAAAAAAAAGCCCATTAGATCCTCTCCTCCCAGAATTCCTTGAAAGGATTTTGATAGTCTCCTAAACCCTGTACTGATGTCCTCCAGAAGGTGGGGACACACCCATCCTGGAGTCGCTGGGATGGTTGGTTCATATTACCACCGAGCCAACACTCAAGCAAGAGGAAGACCCTCCTCAGAGGTATCTGAGAGCAGCTCCCCGGTAGACACCGTGAAAGGGATTGGCTGACACTGGTGGTCATGAGAAGATAAGCAAATAACCGTGCAGTGCCCGGCAGCCAGGCCATGGTGAGAGGGGAGGCAGTGGTCTCCAATTGGGTCCAGTATCAAAGCAAATTAGTGAAAGAGCAATTCCAAAATGATCACCCCCAACCTCCTGGATTAGGTATGAGGCAACAAGGGCCCTGGAGCAGCTGGTTTGTCCAAGGCCTCAACTAGCTCATGGCGAAACCTTCAGGTCTCCAACGCCCAGGTCTCCCAACACCACCCCGGTGTCCCAGTCAGTCCCTGGTCTTGGGGAGAGGCCCACTGAGGCCTATCCCGAAGTCCCTGCTGATTTTCTCCTTTTTATTTTTAAATCCAAGGCCCTGCCATGAAGCTAATATTCTGAGCTTCACAATGCCTCCCTTGCACCTACTTTCACATTTGTCATGTTGTCATGTTTTTTTTTCCTTCCTAATTTTACTCTAAATTATACAAAATTTAGGCCCACACATGGGTCCAGACCTGGCAGAGGGGACATGCAAATCGGAGAGAAAGACAGCTCCCGGGCAAGTGCATTTTTATACACGAAAAGGAATGCCTCTGGGACGCTGCCCCGGTGCACTTTCGGCCCAAGCCACAGAGGGAAGCGTCGAGTCCGGGGCGCCGGACTGTGGTGGAGCAGACCGCTGCTGGGTCACTGTGAAAGGCAATGTGCTCTCGCTGCCACGCGGGGGCGCCATACCAGGCTCCTTCCGCCTGTTCGTTAGTCTCTTAACGAGTTTCAAATGTTTATTTTCTTCTCGACTAAAAACACTCTTGTTATTATAAAAATATGAATTGTAAAAGTCACAAAATACATAAAAACAGCCTAGAGTCTCCCGATTAAAGAAAACTACTTAGACTATGTTAATATATATGCTTCCAAACCTATTTAAACATTATATGTTATATATAAAATGCTCTACATCTATGTTTATATTACATTACAGTATTATATTCCTAGATACAGTATAGGAAACCACTTGTTGTGTAGACACACATTCTAATTATATATGCGCACATGTATATTTTTAAGACAAAATGGAATCGTTCTGCACAGACTTCTGAATATATCATGAATATTCTTCCCTAGCAAGTTAATTTTGCTAAAATAATTCGTAAATGAGGGCCTTGTGTCGCATTATTTAATCCATTAAAAATAATTACTGTGAGTAATAAACACAGAAAATTCTATTTATTCCACCGGAAAGCAATGGCGCGCGTGGGCCGCAGATGTCCACGCTACGGAGCCGAAGCTCCCGGGCCGGGACTCAGCCCCGCGGCCTCGAGCGTGCGGGGCGCACAGACCTCTGTGGCCGCGATCACGCGGGGCGGCGCGCTGCGCGGGGAAGCCCGGCCGGCCAGCCCGGTCACTCAGCGGGGACGGGACTCTGGGGACCGAGCCCTTGGGACCCGGCCGCGGGGACCAGCAGGGACTCGGCG